TCTCTGTGGCCTCGAGGGGAGAGCGGGGTATAAATCCCATCTCTTCTTTTTTAGTCACCATGGCTAGCATGGAAACTCACACATGAACACATGAATACACATGACCACATGAATACTGAATCAGACCATAATTGTCTACTCAGACCAGCAGCAGCTCTCCAGGGTCTCAGGTTGAGGTCTTTCCCATCACCTCCTACCTAGTCCTTTTAACAGGAGATGCCGGGGATTGAACTTGGGACCTTCTGCCTGCCGTGCAGATGCTCTACCACTGAGCCATGGCCCTTCCCATTCACTGCTGTCTGCATTTAGATCCCATCAATGTTCGAGAAAAGGGCTTTCAACAAGACTGTGAGCTATGCTGCTACGAACCTGCAAAGCCCACACTAATGAACTGAAGGGACGTCACTTATTTTTGGTCCCTGGCCTCTAAACCAGTGGCAAGGTGCCGAGAGTTGATGTCCAAGTTTGGCAGCCGGCCACCGCCGTGCTTGGCAAGGAGGCATTTACTTTACCTTGCTGCTGGAGGCATTTAGCAAAGTTGCAGAGATCCCCAGCTGTTCCAGGACCATTAGTTGATCCTCCATAAGTGAGATCAGAGGACAGATCACCAGGGTGAAACCTAGGAAACAAAACAATCCATTGAATCATCTACCCAACATGCTCACCGAGCCAACACTTAACGGCATGGCCAGACTCTCTGCTCATGAGAATTCAGAACACACATTGGTCCTGTGCAGACCGAGGCGTGTTCACTGGAAGCAGACTGAAGTCGGATATGTAACTGTGACTGTTCCACTGGACTGTGACCACAAAGCAACTGTACTAAGCAGCCCGACAATAGGAGAACACTGACCTCAACTGCAAACACGCGACAGAAATGCCTCCCTAGTTCATAATGGCTCTTAAAACACTCATACATTTTTTCGTGCTGTATTTCAAGCCATGGCGACAGAACCCAAGTGTGTGCTGTTGTGTGTGCATGCTTCCTTGTGGCAAGTGGGAAACAGCCACAGAAGTCTGATTTACACAGTGTCAGACCAGCTGCCACAGCTCATTCTAAATGGCTACATGGCACCAATGCCTCTGGCAAGGGTATTTCCCAGCCTGGCAACCCCATTTATTTTGTCCCTGGGGAAATGGTTTATTTAAGGTTTCTCTGGCTTTGCCGTTGACTTTGGAAGAAAAACAAAGCACTTCTGTATTGGCCTCGGTTCGGTTGGGCTTGCAAGTGCCTGACCACTCTACATGAGCTCCCCGAGGAGATCAGGGCCCTGCGGGACCTTTTACAGTTCCACAGGGCCTGCAAGATGGAGCTCTTCCACCAGGCTTTCGAGCCATTACCACCAACGTGCAAGTGCAGAGCAGTACCGCTGGGTTGGGCTGACTGGCCACCTGGACATCTGGAAACATCGTGGCCCATGGCATCCTCCTTGTGGATCCCAATGTGATGTGCAATAGGGAGTGAGCATGTTAATCGCAATGGATCCTGTGAGTTGTCCACTTGTGTTAAATTGTTTTAACTTGTATTTTATTGCACTGTGTGCCTTAACTGTTTTTAAATCTGTGGTATTGTATTACATTTTTGTGTTTTGTAAGCCGCCCTGAGCCTGCATGCGGGGAGGGCAGGGTATACATGAAATTTTATTTATTTATTTATTTATTATTTAGATTTTTATCCCGCCCTCCCCGCATGCAGTGGTTCTCAACCTTCCTAATGCCGCGACCCTTTAATACAGTTCCTCATGTTGTGGTGACCCCCCAACCATAAAATTATTTTCGTTGCTATCATAAGACCATCGGAAATGTGTGTTTTCCAATGGTCTTAGGCGACCCCTGTGAAAGGGTCGTTCGGCCCCCCAAAGGGGTCGCAACCCACAGGTTGAGAACCGCTGCTTTAGAGTGTCCTGCTAGGCTTCGACTGCTCTTCCTTCTACCAAAAAACCCCTCAACTGCTGGGATTGCACGCTGCATTGGTCAGGCCGCACCTGGAGTATTGATTGCAGTTCTGGAGGTCTCACTTCAAAAAGGAAGTGGACAGAATGGAACGGGTGCAGAGGAGAGAGCAACGAGGATGTTCAGAGGCTTGGAGATCAAGCCCTGCAAGGAAAGACTGAGGGACTTGGGAATGTTCAGTTGGGAGAAGAGGAGGTTGAGGGGGGACAGGATGGCTCTCTTGGAGTATCTGAAGGGCTGATCCTTGGAGGAGGGCAGGAAAGGCTGAGGGACTTGGGAATGTTCAGTCGGGAGAAGAGGAGGTTGAGGGGGGACAGGATGGTTCTCTTGGAGTATCTGAAGGGCTGTCACTTGGAGGAGGGCAGGAAAGGCTGAGGGACCTGGGAATGTTCAGTCTGGAGAAGAGGAGGTTGAGGGGGGACATGATGGCTCTCTTGAAGTATCTGAAGGGCTGTCCCTTAGAGGAGGGCAGGGAGCTGTTCCTGTTGGCAACAGAAGATAGGACTCGCAGTGATGGGATGGTAGTGGCTTGATATTAAGAAAAACTTTTTTTACAATCAGAGTTGTGCAACAGTGAAATCAACTGAGCTCCCCATCACTGGCAGTCTTTAAGCAGTGTCTGGACTAAGCTGATTCTGCATTGAGCAGGGGGTTGGACTAGATGACCTGTAGGATCGCTTCCAACTCTGTGATTCTATGATTCTAGTTGGCGGGGCCTGGACTCAGAACTGTCTGTGCGCATGGCGTGTGCACTACCAGTGAGGTGTAAAGCCCTTCTGTTCTAAGGTTTGTCTGGTGCCATCCTGATTGCCAATGTGGCGCCAAGCAAAGCACTTTTTGTCCCAATGCACTTTTGAAGAACTTCTTCCCTGCTGCACCTTCTTTTTATATACTGATGATTTAACAGCTAGATTTGAGTTCAGTAGTCCCTTAGAGAACAACAAAATGGGGGGGGGGGGTAATAAGCTTTCAAGAGCCAAAGCTCCCTCGCCTATTTCAATTATTTGTACAGAAGAGGGTGACCAGGATGGTGAGAGGGTTGGAATCCAAGTCTTATGAGGAAAGGCTGAAAGAGTTGGGTATGTTTAGCCTGGGAAAGAGAAGGCTTAGAGGGGACATGACTGCAGTCTTCAAGTATCTGAAGGGCTGTCATGTAGAAGATGGAGCAGATCGATTCTCTCTTGCTCCGGATTGCAAGACTAGCTCGAATGGGTGGAAATTACAAGGCAGTCGAAACTGGCTAAATATCAGGAGAAACTTCCTAACTGTAAGAGTGGTTGAGCACTGGAACAGTCTGCCTCGGGAGGTGGTGGATGCTCCTTCGCTGGACGTTTTCAAGCGGAAGCTGGACGACCATCTTCCGGGTATGTTGTAGAGCAATCTTTCGGCTATGCTCCTTCAGAGTACAGGGGGTTGGACTAGAGGTCCCTTCCAACTCTAACATCCTACGATTCTATGATTTAGCAACCGAAAATTGTAACTAGTGTGGCTAGCAAGAGAAGTGTGAATGAGGAAAAGCCAAAATTCAATCGGCCTCCAAGAGCCTACCCTCAGAAGACACTGCTGGGAGCTGGTAACACAGACTCTTCCCACCGCCAGTCGGCATGACAAGGAACACGTCTCTTCTGGCCATTGTGACGTTGATCGTTTCCAGCTGCAAAGCCCTGAACTTCTGGAGCTTAAAGCTCTTCTGCAACTCACTTCTGATCGTCTCGGACCAAGGAAAATCTGGGATTGGAAAGGAGCATGTTGAAACAAAATGACGATTTGAACAGCGGAAGTATTTCCTGAAGGTTTTTCTACAGTAGTAACAAGTTCTCCCCAAATTGTCAGACGGGGTGCAATTGGGGGGCCATCTGTCAGCCTTGACTAATTGGTTCGGCGCACTTAGGAGACGTCTCCTCCGAATGCAGCGAGAGGAGATGGAGCGATGCTACCCTGCAGCCACACGAACATCAATTCTCCATCCATTTTACTGAACAGGCAACAGAAACTAATGAAAAGAGTCTTTCCAACAACTCCAAAATAAGCCACTTGTAAGAAATGACCCTTCTAAGAAACTGCAACCCTTCATATCTCAACAGTAGCAGTAACCTTCTCTGCAATCCTAAGATAGTCTAATAAGGTCTAAGTAAACCCCAGTTTCTTTAATGGGGCTCGATGCCGGAAACATATCTTTGGAATTGCACCGCTAGGCTTAAGATATTGGACAGGATCCTCCAGACTTCTTGTTTCAGGGGAAGGCTTCTTCCACTGCAGGAAAGGGCCTTTGCTAGCCAAACGGGATCCAGCCCATCAAGTGTAATAGTTTAACGCGGGCCTTGACAGATTTTCGTCAGCTTTATGACTCACCCCAAGAATTCTGGAGCCAGACTTACCTTTCAGCCTTCAAGGGTTTATAAGTTAATGACCTGCCTTGGCAGGGAGGGCGGGGTATAAATCAAATCAAATAAATAAATAGTGTGTCTGTGTTAAGTGCAGTCAAGTTGATTCCGACTTATGGCAACCGAGACCCAGAGTGGCTATACCACCCACAATGCCATACGGTTATTAATTAATTAATTTATGGCAAGCCAATGAATTAATGACCTCCCAAATGTCCTATCGTGAACAGCCTTGCTCAGGTCTTGCAAACTGGGGGCCCTCGTGGCTTCCTTCATTAAGTCAGTCCATCTTATGTTGGATCTTCCTCTTCTCCTTCTGCCTTCAACTTTTCCTAGCATGATTGTCTTTTCCCAGTGACTCATGTCTTCTCATGATGTGTGACCAAAATACAATAGCCTCAGTTAACTTACTTTCTTCGCACTGCTACTACAAAACCTAACCCTAAACTCTTCGTAGTTTGTCATTTTTTAAAAGCGATAACAAACGTTATAAATAAACATGAGGTAACCTTGGTCGCCATCACAACAAAAAGTTAACCTCTGTCCCTCACCCAAGGCCTTTTTTGTAGAAAAAGCCCAGCAGGAACTCATTAGCATAATAGACCACACCCAACCGCAGAAACTCATTAGCATATTAGACCACACCCCTGACGACACAGTTCATTAGCATACTAGGCCGTACCCCCATGTTACCAGAAGTGTGGTCATCCAGCCACACCCACCTTTTGCTTCTTATTCTGTTTACCTTGTTGTTAAAACCCAGGGCCTTTTTTTGTAGTAGGAACTCCTTTGCATGTTAGGCCACACACTCCTAAAGTAGCCAATCCTAATGAGTTTCTGCTGTTGGGCGTGGCCTATTATGCTAATGAGTTCCTGCTGGGCGTGGCCAACTCAGGAGCCAGCCGGAACTCCGTTCCTGTGCGTTCCTGCCCCAAAATAGCCCTGCCCTCACCTAAATAAGTTCTGCACTTCTACAGAGAATCATCACTTTTTGAAAATACTGACTTATGCTGACTACCGAGAATACCAGGTGCCACACTGAAATTACTAGTAGGCACCATGGTGCCCCGGTGGCTGGGATCTGCCAAGCCCTGGTTTAATGACTGTTAAAATACTAAATCCCATCTTGCAGACCTTCCTTGTTCCAAGCGATGGCTGTCGATTCAGCGTCTTTACTCCCCCCGCTCTCCGCGTCAGAACACTGCTTTATTTTCTTCTTCAGCACAGTCTTCTTCTGAATAAGTTCCTGCTGGCGCTCCAGAAGTTCTTGAACCTGGATCTCCACGGCCTGAAGCTCGCTGTCAACAGAAGCCAGTTCCTCCTGCAGCACTAAAAGAGGAAGAGACAAACATTTCAATAAGTTTCCCCCATGTGCTTAGCACAGGGGGTCCCCAGCGTGGTGCCCACGGACACCTTCCCTGGGGCTTGCCAAGTGTTTTTAGAAAGTGGGAGGAGTCAGGCGGGGCTTTCACCCAGCAAGGCTTTTGATTGGCCACTGGAGATTTGATTGCCCACGCAGATTTTTAAAAAATGTTGCTTTGGCAGCAGCTGCTACCACAGCACAATGATCTTCAAAGTGTGACTGAAAAGCCGTGGCAGCCATTTTGTGCCTGGCTCCGCCTCTTCCAGCAGCCATTTTGTGGCTGTGCCCACCACTCTTTGCCAGAATTCCAAAGGTGCCCGCAGGCTCAAAATGGCTGGGGACCCCCATGCTAAGCTAACAGGATACTGACGACAGCAGCCCCATATCTTGCTCTGGCCTTGGTACAAAGGGAAGATGGGGTATGGTTCACCTTTCCCCCCCCTTCCTGTCTGGACACCTTCCACAATGCTGTAGCCAGGAATCTTCCACAGAGCTCCTGGGTCCCCCATCCATCCATGCATTCCTACCCACTCTGAATAAGAAAGTGCTCCACACACATGCGTCATAGCACTGAGCTTCTGTGACTCCTGATCTCTCAGGAGTCTGCACCCCACCCTTTTGCCAGTTGCCTGGCAGTTTCCTTTCTTGTGGCTTTACTCTCATGTTCACACAGTTTCACACTCATCCAGATAAAGCACATAAGATGACCCATTCAAACAGCATGGCTTTCCCCCCATTTCTTGTATGCTGGTACACAAGTCTGTGGCAGTGGTCAGAGGACTGGACGAGGAGAGACATGGGGTAAAATCTCTACTCCGCTAGGACAATCACTGGATGACCACAGGCCACTCACACTCTCTTGATCAAGCCTACCTCACAGGGCTGCTGGGAATATATAACTGGGAAAGGAACCACATACGCCAGCACCACTTCCTTGGAGGAAGGGTGGGACGAATACAGAACGAATTTCTTGGTACCACACAGATTAACACAGGCTGTTGGCTGGTCTTGTGCCATATAACCTTGGGCAGAAGAGCTGGGTTACCAGAAAGAGTGGTCGTCATCTTCAAAGTCCAAAGGCACTCTGCTAGATGAGCAAGTATTCTCCAAAGCAATTCTTTAGCAGATTCTTTCTAAAAACAGAACATTTGAAAGATAATAAAAACATCTGAAAATTACAAGTATGAAAAACCATCTCTAAAGAAAGAACACTTGCGTAGTCATAAGCAATATTTCAATCTCTCTAGAACGTAACTGTTGCCCAGAAAGACAGCCAGTCTCCTTTGCATAGACATTTTTTCTTAGGCCAATATTGTATTTATTTATTTTACTAGTCATACCCTACATTTCTTCCCAGTGAGGACCCAAGATGGTTTACATTGTTCTCCTTTTCTCCATTTTATCCTCATAACAACCCTGTGAGGTAGGCCAGACTGAGAATATATGTCTCAAGGGTCACCCAGCAAGCTTCCCTGGTAGAGTGGAGAACTGAACATGGGTCATCCAGATACTAGTCTGATCCTCGAACCACTAAAACACTGTGGTTCTATGGAGCAAATAGGAAGTCTGAACTGGACTGGGGAGATCACTCAAGACACAATAGGGACATTTACCATGTCTCTGTCTTAGCCACCCTGCAAGGCTGTTGTGAGGATTAAATGGGAGAGAGGGGAATAATGTATGCCACATTCAGCTCCTTTGAGGAAAGCCAGGGGAAAAGGCGAGTCAAATAAGCACCGTCATGCACAGCTTCACTGCTTCCTGAAAAACATTTTGATAGGCATCTTTGGACTGTTATCACAGCTATAAGTTCCAGTTTGAGTTTGCTTGATTTGACAGCATGTATGTCCATGAAACTACCTTATACTGAATCAGAGGGACTGATTGGGCCAGTGGTAGAACATCTGCTTGGCATCCATGAGGTCCCAGGTTCAATCCCTAGGCAACTCAAGCTAAAAGGACTGGGTATTAGATAATGTGAAAGACCTTTGCTTGAGTTGCTGGAGAGACACTGCCAGTCAGAGTAGACAGTACTGACCTTAATGGAATAGCAGTCTGATTCAGTATAAGGCAGATTCATGTGTCTTCAGACACATTGTCTATGCAGACTAGCAGCAGCTTTCCAGGATCTCAGGTAAAGGTCTTTCACATCACCTACAGCCAGGTCCTTTAAATGGAGATTGAATTTAGGACCTTCTGCATGCAAAGCAGATGCTCTACCACTGAGCCTCACAGACATTAACACCTTTATCCTCGCAAAATACACTTGGGCCACTAGAGGGCACCAGGCATTTCAAGATAGAGAGACAGACAGACACCAATCTGGCAAACTGTTAAATTTTATACACACCATTCCCCCACCACCAGGGCACATTAACCACCGTTTGGCAGCCCAACAATTAGGATAAATATAAAAGAAGGGTAGGGTTACCATATTTTGAAATGCAAAGAAGAGGGCATATTTCCGAACCGATTACTTCAAACAAGTGATCACTATGACAAATATCATTTGAAATACCCTTACTATTTAAACTGGGTTAATTGCTACTAACTAGGAATATTCCTAACCTCCCAACTCAAAAAGAGGATATTTTCATCAGTTTTTTTGAAAAGAGCCCAAAAGACAATGGACACCCAAAAAAGGGACATCTGGTAACCCTAAGAAGGGAAAACAGATGAAGCCCCAAATATCACCAAGGTACACAAAAAGTAGTTGTCTCTAAGCAATCAGAATGGGGATAAAAAACCTTTGACATTATACCCTGAGCCATGACTGTTGTGCCACCATATGGCACAATGCAATAAGGACAGTGGGCACCAAGATCCTCAGAATGGCATGAAAATGCACAGGTGGACAAGTGGGCTTTGAATAGACTTCCTTTTTCATTGAGTAGCTGCCGAAATGTTCATGCATCCTTTTCTGAACTCCATGGATAAATATCTCCAACGGAGTTCCCCCATTTCTGCATTTATTTCATTGATAATGTTTTATCACTACTAACTATGCAAATGACCAAAAGTACAATCCTACGCAAAAAATCCTTCCCAAGTCCACAGGTTTAGAACGATGTAAAACTCAATTTAGGACTGCACCCCTGGAAACATTAAGGCAGGCCACAGAACAGATGCCAAAAAATAATCCATTTCCCTTACCAATCCAGCACAACTTCCAGTGCTGAAGGCGAAATATGCTGTGTTCTTTTAGCCATCCAGTCCCCAAACTAAACTTCTTCAGGCCTCAAACTGTGAAAATGAGAAGAATTTTAAAAAGCACTGCAGCGGGCACCAAAAAAAAAATAACAAACCAAAGGCAGACTGCGGGCAACAGAAGAAATTCTATTAAGTTCTACTGAGAAATCCATTATGCTACGGGAAATCAAATGAGAATTGATCAGTTTACCTTCCAAGCTGAGAAGGGAGACATTTCAAAGGACAAAACCATGTGGGGTGAAAAAAGGTTAAATCTCTTCTGCCCCTCCCATTTTGGAACTCCACCGCAAATCAAGGCCCCTCACAGCAACAATCGGCCTTTAGAAAGACTCTGGGTCCTTCAACAGTTGTGATGGAGAAAGAACGACAATGGGTGCAACTTCTCCTACCCCTGCATCATTACAGTGTGACCAATAAGTTGCATCTGTCAACATTTCCACGCAGCACATTTTCATGCCTCCCTTCCACCGAGGAGTTCAGGGCAGTTTACATGCTTCTCATTTTTCCTAACCACCACCCTTTGAGGTAGGTTACTTTGAGTGAGAACAACTAGCTCAAAGTCAGCCAGTGAGCAGGGTGCTGAAGCCAGGTAACATGCATAAAAAGGTAAAGGTTCCCTTGCTCGAAAGCCAGTCAAATCCGACTCTAGGGTTCCGGTGCTCATCTCCGTTTCAAAGCCGAAGAGCCAGCGTTGTCCGAAGACGTTTCCGTGGTCATGTGGCCGGCATGACTAAACAGCAAGGCGCACGGAACGCTGTTACCTTCCCACCGAAGTGGTACCTATTTATCTACTTGCAATTTCTTGCTTTCGAACTGCTAGGTTGGTAACATGCATACATACTGACTTATCCTGAATCAGACCTCTGGACTCCATCAAGGTCAGTATTGTCTACTCAGACTGGTAGCGGCTCTCCAGGTTCTCAGTCAGAGGTCTTTCTCATCAACTACTACCTGATCTTTTCGACTAGAGATGCCGGGAACTGAACTTTGCATGCCAAGCAGATGCTCCAGCACTGAGCCATGGCCTCTCCTCGAAGTCCTTCCCAGCCCTTCTATGACACTCTAACCACTGCATCACACTGAGTTTCCTCTTCTACCCACCATCCGGAGGTTCGCAACCCTACTGTCATGGAAAGCTTCAACTGTCCATTTCCACCCATTCAGCCTCTTTTAAAGGGACAGGACATTTTGCTCCAGGGCAGTTGGCAACGTTATCTCCCTCCCTCAGCCTAGCCTCCTTGATAAAAGCACAAAACAGGGGAGGAGAGACTCACAGCGACACGTCCTGAAGCAACTCAATAACGAATCAGCGATCCGAGGTATACTGCCTCTAGACCTGGAGGCTCCATGGAGCCGACCTACCTGACAACCGACACTACCTTTTCTCTTCCTCACAGACGCGCGCAAACGGGCGAGAGAAAGATACTCCCCTCCCCTTCCCTCCATCAGACGCGCCAATCAGCAGTCGTCTCGTTCCCCACCACCACCCACTTCCTTCTCTCTCTTCAGCCAATCAAGAGCTCGCCGGGCGCGAGCCTCTCCCTTTTTCTCTCTGACCGACTCCTCAGCCCAGCAAGAATCGGCCGCGCGTGCGCCCTCTCTTTTCCCTGATTGGCTTCTCTGGGTTTTTTTTTTTACCTCACGAACGCCGCTCGGAGCGATGACGGGACCTGGGAAGGGGAGAGAGGAAAGTTGGGAAGGAACAAGCCGGGCACTGATTGGCTCATCGCTCTCTGCCCAATGGGAGACCGTCTTGGTGCGCGGCGGCCGCTGTGGCAGCCGAAGCCGGGGACTGACTGAGGGGGGCTGCGTGTTTCCGGAAGACGTGGCGGCTGCTGCTTCTCTTCCTCCGGCTTCTCTTTGCCTCTTCTTCGCTCGCCTCGTGTGTTGTCGGACCGTCTGAGGCCGAAGCCTCGCTGCTGCCGCCATCATGATTTCCCTCACTAGAGGGGGGGAAGGGGGGGGGGGAGAAAAGGGGCGGGGCACGGTATGGGGCTGCTCATGGGGCTCCTTCACACCAAAGGGCGTGGTGGTGGTGGGGGGGGCGTCAGGTGAATCTCTCTTAAACTAGGAATGTTATCTACTTTTTAAAAATAATGGCATTTGCAAATAATAGTAGTGTCTTGTTGCTGTACTTATTCCATTTCTCGCAGCTCGTTCCTCTTTATTGCTCAACATTTTATGTATTCAGATCAGAATGGGTAGCCGTCTTAGTCTGTCTGTGATAGGGGTGCCCGCCTCCAGGTCGGACCTGGAGATCCCCCGGAATTGCAGCTCGTCTGCAGAAGACAGAGATCGGCTCCACTGGAGAAAATGGATGCTTTGAGCCAGGGCACTGTACCCCACTGC